ATTCTCTTTTTTAAAAACATCCTTATTGATAATGACTTTATATTTATTGTAGGGTGCTTAATAGGGGTAAATATAGAAAAATTGGGTTAGTTTAAAAGCAGATAACTATTTTATTGGGGATAAAATTCAGTTAAAAATATTTTACATTTTTGAATGGAGGAAATATTAATAATACATTTTTTCTATGTGATATATAGTTTCTTTTGGTACTATCTTTCTGTATATTTATTAAAGGTATTGATAAATTTAGATAATTAATGGTTAAACTTAGGTTGCGTTTGAATAAGTGAATTTAAGTTGAGAATTTGAATTTAAAATATCATATTTGAAATTTCACATTTGAAATTCATATATTCTAAATTCTTTGTTTGAATGATATAAAAAATTTTAAATTATATTATTAAAATTTTTTGTTTGGATCTAAAGTAAAATTTTAAATTTTAAATTCTACATGTGAATCTAAAATATACTTGGATGACGTCGGCACTAGTCCATTCTTTGTCAAAGTCGACAGTCTAAATGGGCAACTTTCATAGGGACCAAATTGTTAACGCCAACTGAGACTGTGGCACTAGTGATTACTAGGGTCTAAAGGCCAACTTACCGAGACCGAATCGACGGTGATGACCAAGACTGAATTGACAGTGACAATTGGGATCGAAATACCAACTTCAATTAAGAAGTGACAAGGACCAAATCATTATTGTCGATTGGGATTGTACCTACAACCAAATTAAATAACTAGCTCCCACTATGACTGGGTGGATGGCTTTGACTGCGACTGTGTTGGTGACTTTGACAGGGATCAGAACGATCATGGTGAGTGCCGGCGATCTAATCCTAGTCACAAGAGGTCATCCAATCCCAATCAACAGAGGCTGCCTTGTCCTAATAGAAGTTGGTCGTGCGGTCCTAATAGTTGCTGTCAGTCTGGTCCCCTAAAAGTTAATCATCTTATATTGGTCATAGTCATCGATTCAATCCCAATGGGAGTCAATTGTCACTGCTAGCCTGGTCCCACTAGAAGTTAGTCATTTTGTCCTGGTTGTAGCCATCGCTCTAGTCCTAGTGAAAGTCAATCGTCCCGTCTTAATCATCTCTGTTGATCCAATCTTAGTGAAAGTCAGCCATTGATCCCAATCATTGCCATTGGTCTGGTCTCGGTCGTTGTCAGTTTGCGGTCCCAGTGAAAGTTGGGGGCCTTATTGGATTATCGCTGATGGTCTAATCCTGGTAGAAGTCAAGGGTTGTCTGAGTTATTACTGATGGTCTAATTTGAGTGGAATTCAATCGTCTGGTCTTGATCGTTGTTCGGGTGTGCTCCTAATAGAAATTGCCTCGATGCAAGTGAGGGCCCATCTGGGTTATCACTGATGGTGTAATCACGGTGGAAGTCAGCCATCCAGTCTAGATCATTGCTTGCACTTAGGTCCTTACTAACAAGGGTAGTTCGGTCCTAATAGAAGTCGGACATTTAGTCCCAGTTGGCATTGGCGGTGCAATCCCAATCAACAGTAGCGATCCGATCTTGATCAATGGTGACAGCTTGGTTCTATCAGCTTTGGTGGTTCAATCCAATTACCGTTGTCAGGTCAATCAAGCCTTTATGAATTTGGGTTAAATTTCAAAATAAATTGAGTTAGGATTTGAAATGATAGAGGTTTAGAAAAAATGTTAAATTATGAAGAGATTAAAGTAGAATTTGAATTTAGATTTAGATCAAATTCAAATTCATATATTTTTAATTACCTAAATAATGGATTTGGCTCAAACTCAAATTTAAATTCATATGCATCCAAATATAGTATTAATGAATATTGTACTGTTGTTTTTTTCTGGTCATATCTTATTGACAAGATTTAAATTTCAATACCTAGTTGCATGCAATTGAAAGATACGCATCCCAACTCAAAGGAATAGTTTTAACCATCAAATTTTCATCCCCTTGACAACCAACTAGGTTATTTACTGAACAAAAACCAGTCGGAATTAATGATTAATCAATGTGAAAATTAATATGATATGATAGTTTGAGAAAGATTTGAACAAATGATTACAGAAGCTGGCCACGCGATCATAAACAGACTAATCGTCATTGAAGCAAATTGAAAATTGATAATTAAGCAGCTGCATAACGTAAGCTTTTAAACATCTGTGATTTTGTCTTTGAGAGAATGACAGTTAAAAGTCGAGAATATTGAATTAATTAAATTCTTAACAAAATTTTTAAAAAATAAATTGAAAATATTGATTGAAATAATTGTAAATTTAAAACTTTCAATTACAGTTAAGATATTTAGGTTTAAAAAATAATTTTTAAATGGGAATTGAGATTTCTGTTTATAATTTTCTGAACCATTATTTGCAACTTTATCCTTTTATTTCTGTTTATAAAACACTTTTTAGTTATTTATGAAATATTATATAAATAGAGAGAAAGTATAATAAGGAGAGACATAATATTAAGTATAGTTAATGAAAGTTTATTTTTATGAAAATAAATTATATTTTAAATATTAAATTATATTTTTAAAAATATTTTATAAATTGATATTGGTGGAGTATTTTTTTGAAAACAATTTATCGATTACTAATTCAATATTGTAGAACTTAAAATATCGTTCTTCATTCTTGATTTAAAATGGTCAGAAGAGTGGTCAAAGATGAGAGCGTGGTGGGGAAAGAATCTAATGAGCGCCGAAAGGTTCAGAGGACAGTCATCATCATCAAAAGAGGATTTTAACAAATTAAAGAGACAAGACAAGACAAGACATTTTCTTTGTTCTTCTATTCTCACTTGTTTTCTATGTTTTTTTCCTTAAAAAAATATTATGAATTGAGTTTCCAAACTAACAAAGTGTTTTTACGAGTAATCTAAAAGGGCAGAGGCCCCATCACCAAAAAGTACACGACAACTCTAACAACTAAGGTTTTGTGTCATTTTGTATGCCTATGTAAATGTAATTAATAATCTCTTATCAACACCCTTTCCTTTTCAATTTTGATTTGATTCTTTAACTTTTGGTCAAACTTGTGCCTCCTCTCAATTAATTATTGGCCCCGAAATCACCTTTCTAATGTAAACACCACTAATTAAGCATTTTCTACCAACTTAATTAATGTCTCCATGGCTGGTTTAGTATTACTTTATTATTAGGAGAAATATTGAGTTTAACTTATGAAACGTTGAGTTTTTCTCACCCAACTCGATCACTATTGATTTCGTTTGTCTTTTATTCATACATTTAATTGGACTCTGCAATTTTATTTCTATTTCATCAATTTTTCTCTCCATGTATATCTTCATGTCTCCTCATAAATTGCACAAGAAAAAAGACAATTACATATAATTTGTCTAAATTTTGAATCATTTTAGAAATATAATGTTTACTATTCCATAATTCTAATATGAATATTTAATTTATCAATTATTTAAACTTTAACAATTCTTATTGCTTATTATATGTTTCATGGTATCATTATTTATATTACAACGATTTTTATTCTTATATATTTTTATCGTGGCAGACCAACGTAACCTCTAGGATTACTCATACACTATTCATGAGAACTGTTTCCCCATAAATCAAAGTTAAATAAAATTATTTGAGCACAGAATAAGTTTTAAGAAAATTACCGTCACTAACAAATTTGAAAAACAAATTAATCAATAATAAGAATTTATATGTTATAAAAAAAACTTCCACGACTCAAGATTTAGAAATCAAATAGTAAAAATTAAATTATATATTAAGAGTAAAAACTCTCTCATCTCTTTATTTAAATATCGTAGTGTGTTGGAGTTCAACACAACCTTGCCGACCATTGTGAAACTGCTATGGAGAGCCTCGAAGCTGCACATGAACCTCCAATCAAAGATTCCAATTAGTAAAGGGATTCATATATTAAGATTCATTTACTCTTATTATAACACTGAGACTGTCTATTAGGATTCATGTATGGTGAAAAATTAAAGGGAATGTTTAAAAGTTAAAAAAAAATGATGTCTTAATAAGAGGACTTATGAGGGTCAAGATGAGATTTAATATTATATGAGATAGCAATATCAGTATTGTTCCTTTCATTACCTAATTAATAGAGAAATAATAATGGATAAAACTAACACATAATAAGAAATGGTTGTGTTTTTTTCCCTGAAAAAAAAACATAAATGCTCGGGCAATAAAAATAAGGAGAATTATATTGAAATTTCACATTAGTAATTAATTTCTTGGTGTGGGACCTGAATGTAATTGTCCAATAAAAATATTCATATATATATATATATTACTCCATTTGGATTATTTTCATTTTCTATTTAAAAACGGAAAGAACATATACGGATTCTCATATTGCACTCCATTTTTTTAATTAATTTCTAATTCTAGTTTCTATCTTCACCGCATGCTTTAAAAAAATGTAGACCAAAAGTCACCTTGTAACGTAAAACAAGACCAAATATTATTTCGTGAAGAAACTGAGGCACCTAGACGTGCACGTGTGATAATAACAAAGCATCAGAAGACATCAAGATATCCCCAACATTGTAATGTAAATGAGAGAATAAAATTGTTTTACAGATAACACAAATTAAACTACAAGAAGAAATTTATTTATAATACAAAATGCTTCATCGGATACTTATTATAATTCACTTTCAATAATGTCGTTAGTTTTAAAAAAGGGCAATAAATTCGTTAAATTTATCTTAAAAATTAAAAAGTATTTCAACTTTACACAATAGAAGTGTTGATTAATAGCTTGTGACTTCTATTGAATTTCAAAAAAATAATTTAGAAAACGCTATGCAACAGAAAAAGGTGAGGGTATTAATTCTCTCACCTCACACAATCAAAATTTTCACATTTCCTGCTGTTTAAGACGTGTCCTAAAAATGAAATAAACACTTGATTCCTTTTCAGTCAAGAGTCTTGTGATTAAGATATTAACCAAACTACCCGAAATTTAAAAACAAGTAACTAATTAGGCGACCAGCGATATCACATGAAAATAACGTTTTTACCTTTCAAGAAGCAAAATACAGAGACTAGAGACATACTTGAAAGGGTTACAAAACATTCCTTTCCCTTGCTATCCCCACCAAAAATTATGTCAGTGAACAAGGAGGACAAGCAAAAGGGCTCAAACTAAAGAAGCACCCAAAAAAAAAAAAAAAAATCAAAGCCTAACCTAAACAACTTTTCTTTTTCACCAAGTTAGTAATAGTACAGTACAGTGTCAGCAAATTAAAGTTTTGGGGCCTCTGGTGAATTATTACAAACACTACCCACTTACTCCTTCAATATCCCTTTCACCATCATTATGCACAGATTCTCACTCCCCTTCCTTTCTCCTTCATCGTCTCTCTCATTCACTCATTCCATTCCAAATATTGGCGTCTGAAACAGACTTCCTTTTGCATGTGTTTGGAATGTGCGCAGACCAGGCCCTACACTCCAGTTTCCATATCCAGATGAACTCTCATAACTACTGTTACTATTTAAACCTATCGGAGTGCCCAATGCTATCACTGAACTTAAACTTGAATCCACCGTTCCGGTACTACTATTATTATTATTGCTTCCGCTTTGTTGCTGCTCAATGTTCTGAGCATTAATCACACCCCCATCCATTAATGCATTGCTATTTCTCTGCAACTCCAAGCTGAACGGTACCATTGTGTTGTTATTGTTGTAATTTTGCAGAGAAGCGAGAGTAACAGTGTTGGAAGGGTTCTTGAGAGATGGAGGGTTCTGGTGGTAGCCAAGGATATTGGACCAGTAATCCATGGTTGGATCTTGTTTGATGATGGGCACGGCGAAGCTGAGGTGGTTCGAGGTTGATGGGGGGGACGTGAAGGTTACCGATGAATGAGAGGACGGGTCTCGGTCGACGTTGTTACTATCGGCTGATCTGAGGCTTCCATCGTTGCTTTTGCTGTCAGATGCAGAAGAGTCTGATGAGTTTTCGGCTTTGGATGATAATCCTCCTATGGGAAGACTGCTGTTTGCTATGCTCTTCACGTCGTATCGGCTCATGTCAAAGTTGGTCACTGCACTTAATCCTCTAAATTTTATAGCTGCAATGTCATATGCTTCAGCAGCTTCCTCTTGAGTACCTAATTTGAATCATATAGTATAATCATGAATGAATTCAAAAAGAAAAGGACACGATATAAGGGGCCAAGGCCATTATATCACACTTAACTTTTTTTGCCCTGTCTATTTCTCTCTGACTTCATCATCTAAATAAGAGTCTATAGATCCTAATTAAAGGTAATTGAAGGGAACATGAGAAATGGACTCACTAAAAGTGCCGAGATAAAGGTCTTTATTTCCGGCGACTCGGCCAATTCTTGCTTGCCATCGCCCATGCTGGTGGTGCCTGCAATGAACAAAAGCGTTTAAATCCTCTCACAATTATGATATATTTTATTCACTCAGGATCAAAAAGATTATAGTACAACAAAAGCAGAGATAAAGTTAAAGCATTTACTCACAATAAATATATATACATATAAATACACACCCACCTTGTCACTCCTCTGTATATTGAAGCCCCTCTAGAGAAGCCACTACTCTTCCTACAAAGTGGAGAGAGAGAATTTAGAGAGGGCATAAAACAATAAAAAAGACTGGAGATTACATGCAAAGGTAAATAAAGTGAAACCCTAAAGTGATCAAAATGCAAATGCTGTAAATTACTACCTTCGTAGTGAAGCAACAAATTCCTGCCTTGTCATGTTCTTCATCTCTTCCAGTTCCTTCTCATAGTTCGAAATCTGCAAGAGTTGCACCAGAGAAAGAGACATTAGTAAATATTTAAACGAATTTACATAGGAGCACTGAGCCTTGGGGATCAGCTAGCGAAGGAGTTAATCCAATTTAACCAGAAATTCCGATTTCAAGTTATGGGTATATTAAATTAAAAGTAAAAAACCTAGCATACCAGCCGAACTCACGCACCAAAAAAAAAAAGGGAATATTCACGGAGAAAAAAGGACGAAGCAAACCTGAAAGTTGGTGGTGGTAGTTGGACCCCAATATTTAAGAGCAGCGAGATCATAAGCTCTGGCTGCTCTCTCTTCCTTATCGTAGCCACCTATTGTGATAGGTAACAAACAATATAAACAGAAACGTGTTAATTCTTTCAGGAACACGATGATCAACCTTGACGAGAATCTGAATCTAAAGGCATAGACATCCTTGAAAATGAACAGAACGGAATCTTTAAAGACAAACGAGAATGATAACGGGTCAAAGCCAAACTCACCCAAATAAACTGAAAATCATAATGACCAAAAGCACCCCACAGGCCAGCAATCATTCACAGCATCAGGTAGCCGCACAAAGCAACAAAGCAAGCATGCATCAGAATCTTCTTCTTCACCATTTATTTATATACCAACAATAAGAAAAAGCTCAGCTTGCTTCGTCTAGTTTCAAAACATTTACTACTCAGTATTGGGATTTGAACCCCAAGCACGTTCTGATGCTCCCATTTATTCCGGTCAAATATATAGATTGAGGCGCGTGATATACACGATCCATGATAAGTTTGGCCTCACGGAGAAGAAACGTGTGAATCACTGAACAAATTAAATTAGTATTACCTTGCCTTCCTTTCCTACTTTGACCTTCTCTTCTACAACTATTATCCCATAGATGAGCTTCATATCTCCCAGTCCATCTATGCCTGATATAATAAATTCAAAAGAACAAATAAGTGAAAAAATAGGTTGAAAATAGTATCATTTCTGCTGAGATTATTTATAAGTGAAGACTAGAAGAAAGGTACCGTGTTACGCCGCGGTAGATGGAGGTGCGTTGGCCGAATGTGTCGGCGGTCTTCCTAGGGGAAGGCACGGTCACGGCCAGGGCCTGTTTTCGAGGCTCGGCTTGTTCGGCGGCGGCCAAGCGCGGGAGAAAGCCGGCGGCTATGGTTTTGAGATCAGAACTGAAAACGTTGTCGGCTGAGAACTGAGGAGGAGGAGCAGTAGCATCTGCTACCGACGAGGCGGAGGAGCCGCCCAGGAAGTCCTCGAACTTGCGGCTGCCTCCGGCGAAGATGGAGAGGTCGTTGCTGGTGGCAGGTCCTCCAACAGCCGCCTGCGGCGACGCATCATCGGTGGTACCTGAAAAAACAAAACGCTTTGAGAAATAATAATTTTAAAGAAAAAAAGAAAGCGAAAGAAAGCGGAAGAGAAGAGAGGCAAAGAGAGTAGTACCTGAGGAGAATGAATGGAAGAGAGGGGAGTGATTAGAGAGAGAGAAAGCGAGCCAGTTGGGATAAGAGTCCATAGGGTTGGTGAGTGAGCGTGAAGAAAGAGAAGGTTTCTTTGGAAACGGTGATGTAAATAGGAGGCTAGATTCTAGCTGGTTCAGAGAGAGAGAGAGAGAGAGAGAGGGGAGAAGATGGGAGGCTTCAGGTTTGAATGAAGGAGAAGAGCGAGAAGGTGACACATATAGAGGAGGAGGACGAGGAGGAGGAGGGAGGTGGATGCAAGAGAGAATGAACGTGGGAACAGTTGATTGCTGCTCCGCCTACTGTGCATTGCTCGATGATCGAGGTCTTTCCATCTTCCACCCTCCCCTCCTCCTATACATGTCCTCCTTCATTATCTATGTACTTTAACTAATTAATTAAATTAATATCAAAATACATGTATTTCCTGTGATAAAAAATACTCTACCTCACAAGGATTAAGAAAATCATTAAGTTATTAATTTTATTTAAAAAATAAAATATATTTTTATTTTTATTTAAATAAAAATTTTTAGAAGTACATTTCATTCTCTATTATAACTAATTAGTTAAATAAAAATAATATTAAAAAAATAAGTAACACATTATCAAGTGTCTTGTGTTATAGACCAAAAGGTTATTTCACAGTGGGCCTTCTAAAAGAGACTAAAGAAACAATAAGATATTTTTAATTAAATTATATTTTTAATTAATTAATTATTTGTTTATTTTTAAATTAATGTTATTTTTTCATGTCTGCTTTTATTCAATAAGATGTTTTGCTGAGTGATTTGCATTTATTAACAATATTTTTTAAAAAAATTATAATTGCACATTGAAAAATTCAAGATGCCTTTTATTTTTGAAAATCTAACCTCCAAAAAATGCATTGTAATTTTTATAGGAGGGGGAGGATATATTTTCATATAATTACCATCACCCAACTTCTTAATTGCAATTAAATTTAATTAGTTTTAATGTTGAAACTTAAATATAATAATTAATAATGATATTATATAAAAAGGTTAAATTCTTTTTAATTGTACACATATACTATCTTGGTAATAAATTTTAATTACACATAAAAAATACAAATTTTAATTTGATGTGCATGTGAATTTGATTAGCCGAGAAGGGTAGGCTAAGGAGAATGGTGAGGAGAGCAAAGTGGAAGCATTTCATAGGAAGAGAGGGCGGCGTGTGGGTGGACGGATACAGAACGTATGGGGATTCTGATGAATTTATTTATAATTATGGAACTTCATTTATAATCAGATTACGTGAAATATACAATACGTCGGTAAATATATATTATTAGTATATTTCTCTTTATATTTCTCTTTTAACATTTTCACAGGAGTTCCTATAAATTTTTTTAAAAAATTAACCGTTTAATTTTTCAACTTTTAACTTACTTATAATTCAATCCCTCAATTATGACTCCCTGCGACTCAATCCTTCAATTATAACTCGCTGTAACTCAATCCCTCAACTTTTGATTCACCTATAATTCGATCCTTATTTTTTAATTTTTCAAAAAAAATTTATCAAATAAGAGGAATAAAAAAATTCTCATATTATTCTAAAATATCTTCCTCTTGCTTATTGATGTCAGAAATAAGCTAACAAAAAAAAATTAACAAAAATTTAGGGACTAATTTATAAGTGATTCAAAAGTTGAGGGAGTGAGTCATAGGCGAGTCATAGTTGAGAGACTGACAGCGAATCATAGTTAAAGAATTGAGTTACAAGTGACTTAAAAGTTGGAGGACCAAAAGATTAATTTTTTCAAATTTTTATCATAACTCTTAAACTTTTTTAATAAATAACACCTCCAGAATTATTATTTTTTTAAAAAAATTTTACTTAAGTTTAGTTAAATTTTAATTAAAATTTGACTGTATATAGATATATAAACGCCCGTTATTTTGGGTGAAAAAAATATATACTTACCTTGTTTAAAAATATAAAGTAATTTTAACTAAATCTCATCCTCCAATAAAGTTATTGCCTACTTTTAAATTAATCTTATTTTTTTATATTTATTCCTATTAAATACCCTATAATAAATATAAAATCACTATCAATAAGGACATTTAAAAAATAAGAAAACAATTACATCTCAAAAAATTAAAAATACTTTACATTTTTTAATATCTAACTCTTTAAAAAATGTCTTATATTTTTAAACGGAGGGAGTATTATTTTTAACTTTCATCATTCTTAGAAAATATTATGTGAATAAAAATATTAAATTACCCAATTTTTTTATTTTTTATTTTTTATTTGAACATAAATTTATATAATCCTAAAAAAATGGGATGCTTTTATTATTTTAATTTACATTAATTGGAAAAACCGACGGTAATATATAAGATATACTCCTGTTCAAAAATATAAAGCATTTTTAATTAAATCTCACCTCCCGATAAAGTAATTGCCTACTTTCTAACTAGTTCTATCTTTTAATATTTACCCTTATTAAATACCCTTCAATAAATATACAGTTATTATCAATAGGGGTATTTTAAAAATAAATAATGATTATATCTCAAAAATTTAAAAATATTTTACATTTTTTAATATCCAACTCCTTAAAAATGTCTTATATTTTTTAATAGATGGAGTCTTATAGAGTACTTTTCTTATTTTTTGTTAGCCAAAAGTCTACCTGTCAAAAGTTTATTTGGTAGTTTGGCAACAAAAAAATTACTTGATAAAAATTAATTTAATAAAAAGTAAAATTTTTAACAGAATTTGTATTTAAATATATTTTTAAAAAATATTAATTTATTAAATTGAAATTTATTTTAATTATGTATAATAAAAATTATTTTTTAAAATACAATTAAAAAGGATATTGTTTTTTATGATTTGTAATTTTTGTTATACAAATACTTTACATTAAAATTGTTTGAAAAATATATGTGATAAAAAATTTATATAGCAGAAAATTTGATATGTTAGATAATAAGTGTAAAAAATATAAATTTTGATATATGGGACAATATATATATATATATATATATATTAATATATATTAAAAATAAAAATTAACACAATTAATTGTTTAGTCTATGATTTCTTATACTAGTCATAATTTATTTTTTAAAAAAATTAATTTGATCTTATCAAAAACATACCCACGATATTTTTTTTTTTTATAAAAATCAAGGATAGCAGGGTGATATAAAAATCAAGGGGGTCATGTCTCAAATGAGGCACTCAAATCGCAGAGCAAAATTCTGTGAAATTATTTTTTAATTTTGTGAAATTAATTTTAAATTATGACTAAAATAATAATGTTTCAAAATTGCATTACATAAAATATTCTTAGAATGGCTGAGCATTCCATTGCTTGTTGAACCTCCGGCGATCGTTCATGCAAACAGCAAAACTAAATATGCAGTTTGAAAGTTTTCATTACGTAGGAACTATTCCAGCAGCCAAACAAGGCGTAACGAAAAATATTCACAACTCAACCCCACTTGTCACTCTCTCTCTCTCTCTCATAAATATTATCCACCATGAGATATTGACGGAGACGACTAGTCGCTTCCAACCCTGTCCGTTATTGTGCCGTTCATTTTACGAATGAAGCATACTGGTAGTATCCAAGCGATTTCATTTTCGCATTTTTTTTTAATTTCAAATAATACTGTCCTTGCTTGTAATGCATAAATAATTTAATTATTATATATGTCAAATTATAGATGTAAAAAGTTAAAGTGATAGTTATAAATTATTTTAAAAATAATTGTAAATAATTAGTATTAAACTGTGTTACTAACACTTGATCAATTTAACTATTAGATATGTAAAATTATTATTGTAAAATATTAAAATGACTATTATAAATTACTGATGAGATAGTTAGAAACAATTAGTGCTAAATTTTGTTAGTAATAGATGATCAATTTAACTATTAGATATATGAAATTATAGTTATAAAATATTGAAATGACTATTATAAATTATTAGTGAGGCAGTTGTAAATAGTTAATATTAAATTTTGTTAATAACGCATAAATATTATATATGTGAAGTTATAATTGTAAAATGACAAAATAGCTGTTATAAATTATTGATGAGATAGTTATAAATAGTTAATGTTAAACTTTGTTAATAACACATGATTAATTTAACTATCAAATATGTGACGTTATAATTGTAAAATGTTAATGTGATAGTTATAAATTACCAATGAGATAATTGTATATAATTAGTATCAAATTGCAATGCATGACCAATTTAACCAATGGATTTGTGAAGTTACAATTATAAAAAATTACAATGATAGTTGTAAATTATTTTATTTATGTAATATATTTTTAATAGATATTATTCTCTTTCCACCCAAATTCCAAATTGTTAATTTATATATGATTTGAACTAATTGTACACACTAAGCTGCCTAACTGTTTACCATTAACCTTCATGTACATTACCTTAATGAATCATGAAAATGTGTCTTGATACAAGCAATCACAATCAAACAGTATATGCTATTGTATCTTACTCTTGTTTCGCGTAGCTATTATTGGAAGTCTGAATAGTAGTAAATATAGTTAATATATACTAATTGTTGAATCATAAATTTAGTCTTGATAAAAAAGTAAAAAATATATACTTCTCCCATTAAAAAATATAAAACGTTTTTGAAAAAGTTGGATATTAAAAAATATAAAATATTTTTAGTCATTCAATGTGTAATTATTAACTTTTTTTTAAGTGCCTTTTATTGAATAAATTATTTTATATTTATTTTAAGGTGAAACATCCTATTTTATAAGGGTAAAATATAAAAAAATATTGTTAGTTTAAAGATAAATAACTACTTTATTGAAAATGAGATTTGATTAAAAATATTTTATATTTTTTTTAACGGAGGCGGTATATATATAATTCCATGATATGGCAATATAATTTTTTGATGGAGTTACCCTATATTACTCATCCATTTGGGTATAATACATAAGGAGAATGATAACTAGCTCATAAAAAATTGAATTAATAACAATTAGATTTCCTGATAAAATTTTTCAAAACATGAGTTATTATAAATTTCAATTCAAACTTTTACAAACAAAAATCTTAATTGTAATTTAAAATTTTTATTTGAAATATGAATTTATTATTTGTAATCAAAATTATTAAATTTATAATTATCTAAATTAATATTTCTATCTTATTTTTTAAAATTTTTGTCAAAGATCTAACTAATATTAATTCAATCTTTGAGGGTTCAACTATTTTCCTCCAAGCAAATTTTTTCCGAGCCACACCATAACACTCACAATCTCTCTCTTTCCAGGAGATGTGGGGTGTCATTGA